AGAAGTGTGCCCCCTATCCGGGCAGGGGAGGAAATATGCTGGGGGGTTGGACTCTGGCGATGTAAACCGCGTGACTGTCAGTTTTAAGTGGGCTGGCAAAAATAATTGGATGTTGTATTATTTAGATGCGTTTTACGCGCTAGGGAGGAAATTAGTGGAGAATGATGACGCTGAGCCTTGCGTGAGTAATGATTTTGAAGTTTCTGCGCACAGGTCATTTTGGCGGGCCGCGCTTCTCGCTGTCGTCGGTGACCTTTTCACTTCCGCTTCTGCGCCGTCGTTAAGCAGCTGGGCGATAGGCCGTGACGCGTTCTATACTTCATTTGATAAAGAGGCACTGCAAGACATGTGTAAAGGAATGGCTGCTAATTTGTTTACACATGCGCAGGGTATACCGAATAGGGTGCGGAAAGCGATGGAGAGAGAGTTAAACGGGATGGCAGGTTGGGACAACGCGTGGAATGGTCGCGCTTGGAGGTATGTTACGTATGGGCACGAGCATGGAGCCGACGGATATGCGTGTTTTTTGGCTCATAGCACTGGTTGGGATTTAATAAATGAATATCGATTTCATGCAAATAAGGCGCGGATTCTGCTCGCGCTGGCGTTCTTCAGGAGTAGCCCAGAAAAGCAGTCGTGGACGTCAAAGACGTTGATTCGTAGCTTGATTGGTTTGCTAGCGGCTCCGGACGAAGAGCCGGCTGAGGATGAGGTCGGTGAATGGCCCAAGTACTTTGAATACTTGCTCAAGTGTTACGCTCGAGTCGCTCCCCGCGATTTCCCCGAATTCCCTGACGCAAAAAATGATGTCGACGGTGCTGGGCCTTTGAGCGATCACGACAGCATTGATTTTCTACATTATCATTTGTTGTCATTGACTTTGCGATCTTTCGCGAACGAGGCACCGCACTTGCTGTTTGAGGTCGCCGCCTTTGCGGACGAGCGAATGACCCGGCTGCGCGATGATGAAAATAGTGGTGGAGATGTCCCCTCACCGTTTTCTCTCGTCCCCCACTTTGATTTGCGAGTGGCTAGTGTTCGTTTCAACGCGACTATCGTTCAACGTGGGTTGTGTCCGCGGCTCGTTTGTTTGGAATTGGGGCGCGTGTGTGCGGCAGCGCGCGCATTTCTGCGTGTCGGACTGCGCGCCGGCCGCGCTGACGAAATTTGCGGTAGATTGCGCAAGTTCTTGCTTTCGTGGGCGCCGCCGGAGCGCCGAAAAGTTATGCAAGAGAACTACCGCGTGCGTATTAGTTGCCACGGGTATTTTTGGCGACTGACTGGTGGCAGTGGTGCAGAAACCGACAGATTAGACGAACCCTTCAGATTAGACGAGTTGCGTGTTGATCCAGGTTTTTTGCGGAAGTTTAACCGGTTTCTCGCGCGCCGCCTGTCTCCGATCTTTCCTCGTTTGACTCATAAGGGTCGTGTTGGCACCTTGGTGAGATTCCCCCCTACGCCGCCCAAAGGCAAATCGCGACGGAAAAAGGAAATCGATGACGATTCCGCCGCTTCTGACGAAGAAGAGCTGGACGATGCGCCGCTTCAGACGGATAAAAAAGGTGATAAAAAATGGCTCGGAAAGCTACTTGCTCCGCCGCCCCGACGAAAGGGACGTCGGCACCCGTGGGTTGTTGATGGCTTTGAATGTGACGGCGCTCGTCTGAGTTTGCGTTGGAAATCCGCGTCGACGGCGCCGTCAGCTCCTTTCGGGATTGACAAGCTTGCTGAGCGCGGGTACGAGCGTCTTCCCAATGTGTCCGAGAAAACTATGGAAGAATGGTTAAAGGTGATGAATCTGTGTCTGACTCGTGTCGTTTGATTGGTGGTGCATTTTTTTGTGCTTCGGATCTCGTGCTTGCTGTAGGTTCGCCGTGGTATCTGTTACGTAGGGCGGACTGAGGATGGCGTGCCCCGAAAGGCCAAAAAGAAGGCGGAGACGAAAACGTGGCCTGTTGCGCGAATCGCGGTCAATGATCCCGGACAAAAGTACGTCGCCACCGGGCTTTGCGTGCCGTCGGAGTGTTGCAATAGCAACACTCTGGCGGTGACCGCTGAAACTGTAATGGGCCTCGATTTCGACAAGTCAAAGACTCCGTTTGGGATCTCGCGGGAAGAGCGCGATCGATTTGCCGTCGTCGATGCTTGCATGCGTCGTTGGACGTCCAAGCTTTGCGGGTGTAACGAATTCTTGTCGCGGCGAGTCCCTCGGCACGAAAGGTGGGTCGGGCCTCGCTTTGGGAGCCGTGTGCGGAAACAACAGCGCGCATGGGTCCAGGATCCACCGCGACACGTTAAAGCTCGTTTATCTTTGCATCGGGACCTAGACGATGTGCGAAGGCGGCTCGTGGCGCATGAGAAAGGTGATAGCGGCCTGCCGATTGCTATTGAAGTTCGCGCAATCGCAGTTGTTTTGTGGAGGTACAACAAGATCTGCGGGGAGGAATTTATGGTTTTTATTTCCAAGCCCAAGAGGGGTGAGGATTTTTGTCTGCATCTTGGATTGAAGGATTTCAGTCCGCGTTTTGTTAATGAATATTTAAACAACTACCATAGTCTTTTCGAGACGCGATCGCGTTCTGCAGGGCATCATGACGTGTGCGTGCAAATGCATGCGGCGGGAACCGTGCCCCCAACGGATGGCGGAGGCGACGGCGAGTGGGTCGCATGGATTGTAGATGATGTGGATGCCCGCTTGTTGTCCGACGACGACGCACGTCAGGTACTTTTTGAACATCATTCGCCTTGGAGTCATCTAGTTTCGCTATTGTTGTCCGCTCGGCGTTTGTGCTGGTCGCATCTCGACGCGTCTGCGGCGACTTGCCTGAACGTCGTGATGCGGCAATATGTGCTTAATCAGCGAGGTCAAATCGCTGATGCGGATGAGTTCGACTACAGCGAAATCGCTCATGAGTTTCTCGAGTGGTTGAGATCGTCGCCGGACTACCTAGCTGCCGTTGGAAAGCCGTGGACTCGAGCAAACACGATATTTGGTCGGGTGGGGTTGTCCGGACTAATTCGCGCTGCTGCATCTGGCTCTTCTTCCGCTACGCAAGACCGCCTCGACGAACGCGCTCGCTGTCGATGCGCTTTCGCCGCATTTCAAAGTCGGCGTGTTCTCGGAAGATGGGTCGACTACGCGAGTGTTAGGCGTGACTGACAGGTCCTAGGTCCAGACAACGCAACGGGCCGGGGAGGTCCGGTGCGGCGAGCGTCGCGCAGATGCCAGGGGGGTCTCCTTTCGTCCCATGTTTTCCTGCATCCACATTTCAGCTGCAAGAGACGGGTGATGTTCGATGAGAGCTTGAACTATGCCTCGCATGTCACCCGCGCGAAACTTGCCTTCCGCGCGAAAATTGCCTTGAGGGTTGTCATGTGCAAACCAGTCCACGAGTATCTCGTGCAGGTAGTTTTTTCCATCTGAGAAGGTGGGCAAGGGAATCCCATGCTCTAGTAGCAACACCATCTTTTCCCGTCTTTGACAATCTTTCCATGCCAACCCAAAAACCGTAGCCCATAGCGCGGCGCTTCTCGATTTCGCGGTCCCACTTGCGCTCCTTGGACGGTCTGCAAAACTCCAAGCTTTCCACCAGCGAGTATCCTCCGTAGCTCGCTTGGTGCGAGCCGGCGTCCGAGCGTGATGCCCGGGGCCCTCCCAGCCAGCGCAGGACACGGCCATCGTAGCGCAAGACGGGCGGGCCGATGACGTGCAGGGATGGCGAACGGGCAAAGTGCTGTGCCAGGTCAAAATTGCCACAGGCTCGAGGCCCACTCGAGCCCTGCGCGGCGCCGCGCGCGACGCCGCGCCCGTCGAGGGCATGGTTCGGCAGAAGAAGGCGAAGAAGACCAAGGCAGCGAAGAACGACACAGCATCGAAACCTCAGCCTTCGAAAGCGTTGCGGGAGCGCCTGCGCCGAAAAGGCTACAAGAGCGACCTCCCCGGCGTCGAGACGCGCGACAAGGTGGAGTGGCACACCTTGCTGCGTGAGACACTGCCGGACGCGCTGCCGCAGACCAAGCAGCGACAGCCGGTCCTCGTCGGCGGCACGACCATCGAANAGATCATCGAGAGCGCGAACGCCTTCGCGGAAGCGCCGCGNGCGCCGCCGACGGTCCGCGGCGCGCCG